GAGAGTGTGCAGTTTGTCACCGAGGGCCACAAAATGCGCTTCATAGGACAAACAAAACGGGAGGTAAGACAATCCCGTTTCATATGCATTGCTACATTAGTCTCACTTTTGCTTGATGTGATTATGCGTGAGATTTTCACGAGCATTGGGATGCTTAGGATTTTTGAGATGCAATACGTCACCTACCCACATTTGGTGTATGAATTCTTTAGTTCATTTAACCAAATAGCAAATGCTGATGATCATGCCGAAAGTAGAATCACGTTTCGACTGTTGAATGAAAACCGTTCATTGACCAAGTGGGAGTTTGCCCAACACTTTGGCCTCCCCTTGTTCAATGAAGCACGTGAGCATGACACTTTTGTGGGTGTAGAATTGTGGTAAAGAATGACAGGTCAGGTGGATGTGGAGCTCAACCACCTTAGTGTGAATCGTGTCCAACATTCGGTCTTCCGAATTTTCTTAAAATTCTTATCAAACTGTTTTCTCGGAAGATCGTATAACCATCACACGAGGGTATGAGATGTTTGTATTCTTGGACAAGCTGTCTTACTAGGTCCAGATCAAGTGGATGTTGCCTCCATCCTATGGGACCATTTCAGAACAGTGGCAACTTCCACAGGAACTATTAGGGTAGGGGGTTGATTACACATTTAGCCACACTCTATGGCTTTGTAGACCCAGGCCCCATTACCTCAGCACAACTAGTTTGCACATCCTGGCTCCTGAAAAATACCAAAGATATTATTTTTTCTCATAAAACACCCGGTGGGGTAAATATCTACAATTGGTTGATCGATCCACCTAACCCCATACATGTACAACTACCCTCAGCCGACCTCCCTTTGGACCTTCTGGATCACCAAATTGGAGATGGACACCATTATTGTCTCCCCAGGAGAATATCACTTCATTACCAACCAGAACAACCCCAACAAGAACAGCCTGCAGACGAACCACCCTTCATTCCTGAACAACCTCAACCACAACCCCATGCTCATCAATATTTCCCATTTGAGCAAGAAATGCTAAATAGCATGAATGCTTTTAACCTCAACTACACTCAACTTCGGGAGGAAGTCGTGTTGTATTGTAATGAGCAGAGACAGAGTTTCGAAAGGATAGAAGAGCAAAGACGAGAAGATTGGCGCAGACATGAAGAGAACCAACGGAGAACCTTTGGTCCGATATACTCTTACGTGGCACACTAGAGTGCTTTTGCCTCTATGACCACTCCCCCTCCCGCACCCTCATGGTATGATCCCACTCAGTGGGGTTACCTTGGAGGATCGAGCTCCGGTGGCGGAGGCGGGGATGACGGACACGGAGGTGATAACATGGATGAGGATACACACTTCACAAGCTACCAAGGATATGGAGGATTCTATGATGGCGGAGATGCAGGCGGGCACTAGGGACAGTGCCGGGTACTAAGTGTGGTGGTGTGGACATTTTTCTGGTATGCTCACAATCCTACTCTTTTCATTCATATTTTCTTAAAAAAAAAGGCTTGTTGAGTTGAAAACCCACAAATGGCAACTCAAGCAAAAATAAAAGCATTAAAATAAGAGTGAGGTTGTGAGAAATAAAAAAAATGTGGGAAGTTGGGATGAAAACCTGAAAAGGCACCTAGGCAAAACGAGAGAATGAGGAAATCTTTTTATTTTGCAGGATCCTGAAGGTGACAAACTTAAGAAAAAGAAATGGAGATAACAATACAGTTGAAGACCCCTTCTTACTCTATTCACTGTTTGGGGATGCTTTGTAAGTTTTTTTTTTGTTCTTAAAAATTCGTGGATTGTTATTTTATCATTTGGAGGACTGTAGGGACATGATCTATTTTACTCGAGACGAGTAAAAGTTCAAGTGTGGGGGTGCTTGATATGCACTAATTAGTAGTGCATAAATGTTTGTTTTTATATTTGATTTGTGTGTGATGGAGTATATTCCCGTATACCCTAGGGGTACCGCGATCGCCGGTAGAGAGCCTTGCGGGTTCATCGGAGGCAAGAAAATACTAAGCCCACATCTGGATCCGACCCCGACCCCGACCGCCGAGGTCGGGAAACATCAAGTTCAGGAATCAAGTAAACTCAGCAGATAACAGAGTCCACCGACCCCGACCCCGGCCTCGAGGTCGGGAAGGCATCGAGCCCAGGAGCCGACCAAACTCGGTGATACTGGAGCCCGACCTCGAGACATCCGAGGTCGGCACCAAGTATGACCTCAGAGATCTTACTCCAGGTCAACGTCAATCGAAGCACCAGGCGGTCAAACCGCCTCCAAAGCAAGAACGAAGGACAACAGAACGAGTCCTCTCAACATGGGTCCGAGCCCCCAGATACCGACCTCAGTAATCCTCGAGGTCGGGAGAAAAGCACCCTGTACTTAAACGAAATTCGCAAGGGATTAATGCGTGAGGAAACATCGCCATGTCACTCTCCGTGCTGACGGAATGTACCAGATTATCTGCATACGACTACACGGGATCTTTGGCAGGATTTCTGTTAGAAGAATGATCGATCAGCCAGCTACCAGAGGCTCTCTCTCTAATCAACTTTCCACGTGGCTGCTCCCGGTCCATTTAGTCTGGTAGTTTGTTAGAGTAGCTTTACACGTGTCCCTCTCCTATCAGACAAGTATCTTTTTACTTGGGCACCAAGTATTTCCCTTTCTCCTTAGTATAAATATCACCTTCCAACTTGTGGAAAGGGATCAAATTTGAGAGGCTTGAGCTTTTTTCAATCGCACTCTAAATTTCATACTGTGAGACTTGCAAACCAGTTCGCTCTCACCATTTCCTCTCCTACTCTCGATGGATTCCGGCCACCCCTGGTCCGACGATCCATCAGTGTGGATTCTTTACCATTTGTATGCAGTTGTAGACATTTGTTTAACTTTGTTTGTAATTGTTTTTAGCTTCCATTTATAGTTGTAGACTAGTGGTAGAAGTTTTTTGCAAGAAAAAGGGGAGAAAAGCTGAAGACAAAAAGGGTTAGGAGCACAAAACCCGGCCGGGTCAGACCCTGAACCCGATCGGGTCTGATTCAACAACCGTAAGTGCCTCGAAAGTGCACTCACCCGGTCGGGTCCACTACCTCACCCGGTCGGGTCTGACTTGACCCGGGACACTTTAACATGCCGAAGATCACCAGAACGTGGAGGATATTTGATTTTGACATGCACCCGGTCGGGTGGGCACTTTACCCAGTCGGGTACCCGGCCAAAGGTGTTGTAAAACACCTATAAATAGCCTCATTTTTCTTCACTTTGAATGATCCCTTCTTCTGCACTCCTAAGCTCAGTTTAGAATAGCATTTCTTATATTTTTATAGCATGTTTAGTCTCCAATTGAGGAGCTAAACTTGGTTATTGATTATTAAAGTTGTGAGTTATTTTCTTAACTTCTTCTCTTGATTATTAATTCTTCCCTTAATCTCATTCTATATTAATGTTGGAAGGTTGCTAAGTGACGATTAGTTAACGTTCCGACATTAATTACTACTAGAAACGATCAACGAACCGATGGTTAATCGTTGGTGGTTTCACAAGTAAGTAACTCCGGTTTATTAAAGCACGGTCGTGGTTAATAGACTTAAGAGGGATTGATTTTGTTGGTTAAACCGAAACCGTTGTGTTGAGGTTATCAATCTCAATTGATTTCATCAAGGAGTTAAAAAGATTGAATGCTACTATTATATCGGTATACAACGTTGTTCTATATTTGATTAATAGTAAGGGTTATTAATGAACGATCATTGTTAATAACTACCCTCGATGAATCGGAGATACTCCTCGATTGAGTATTCGAGAGGGGATAAGTTATAGATATAACAAGGATCGACTAAAATATATCAACAAGTGGAAAGTAACAAAGCCAAGTCCTTTTATCCTTGAATCAAAACACATATAAATTGTTCATCTTAGTTCTTATCAAATTAAATTATTCAATCCAAATCCCCCCCCCCCTTATTTACTTATTTCATTAAAAAGATAATTATTCCTTTCCCTGTGGATACGAACTCTACTTCACCTATACTACGTATAGGTGTTAGTATCGATTTATTTTGACGCACCGTGACAAAGTGCAAGTACATTATTGTAACTTTCACTAATTATAACTAAACTTCTACTATTGTAGCAAATGAAAATTCTTATGTGAGCTGGATAATGTGAAGGAGGTTTCAAGAAATGGGCCCAAAGACTTTTATTCCTAGAAGGCTCTAAAGATCATATTTTCCTCAACTCCTGATAACATATAACTATGTCTAGTGAGATTAGTTATGTAAAAGCTGGATTTTGTGTCCTCTTTCTGAATTCTGTGGCTTCTGTCTGGTTATTGTGGTCCATAAACTGCATTCCTATATGCCCACTTCCATCATTTCATCCCCTTGCATATGTTGGCCGATCTCTAACTCTTTTGGTTTAAGGCTTGGATGTTGTTGCTGCTGCTGCTGTACATATGTCCCTGTTTACTTAAGTTACCGTTCTCTCTTTTCCTAAGTAAATGTTGTTTTATAGGAAATTGAATGTTCTCAAATAAGTGGTCACTTTTGAATATCAAGTGAGCTTTAATTGTTATTATTCCGCAGTTTTTTCCTCAAGGCCTCAACCAATAAATGCTCTTTAGTACTGCATATATCTTAATGCACTAATGAGGGGGTGGGGTTATTCTTTCCCTATTAGAGTATTATTATTTTGATTTTTGAAAAATAAATAAACATTATTAATTTTTTAAGGCTTAACTGATAGCTATTTGAGAGAGGGAAAATATATCTTTGTATGTGAATGCATTTCGTTTTGCAATACTTGTCCTGAACAATGTTGTCTGTTGACACTGTATATCTTGTCATTTCTAGTAAAAAATGTACTAGTAATAAATACTGAATCTAGATATTATTTGATGTGCTCGCAATGCATGGTGTAGTTTAATCCCGAGTTTGCAAGATAAAAAATACCTGTATGGATTTGAACTTGCTTCTATTGAATTAATGTTACAGGCAGGACTTGTTGTAGGAAGAAAGTCATTGAATGCCTCACTTGGTTCTATAGAATATATCACTTCACTTTACCAGTCTGAAGATGACTCAAGTAAGATTAAGGAGGCTGTAAGGACCTCTATATATGGATTAGATTTTGTTCGTGCTGCTCTTTCTGTTAACAATGAAAAGGTGATGGGTGTTTCCTTTATACTATTTTTGGAAGAGAGAAAATATGAGAGGAAAATAAGGGGGATTCTGTTCTATCATTTTGGAAAGAAGAAAAAATAAGGAAGGAACGGAAAATAAATTTTATTTCACTCTTCTCACATATGCTCTTCCATATTTTGTGGGTAACTTCATACATACACATAGTGAATGTACAATTTGAAACTTATAATGCGAATTGTGTCTTTCACACCAAACTTCAATTTGAAACTTCATTTTCTTTCAATGTTTTCTATCCTCAAGAAAGGAAAATTCCCTAAAAGAATTGCTTCAGGAAAAAATGATAGACTAATAGATATAATTTATAAGTCAAAACTATTGAAATTAGTTATGGTACTCTGGTCTTTATTGGCAACCTTACTTTCGGCTTCTCAAAGACCTCTGAAGCCAAGCTCAAAGTTTTGTACAGGTTACACTTTTCCACTTTGAAGACAAGCCTCGACCAGGGGTTCCAGATGTCATATGCACATTACAAAATCAAGGAAAACTGCGTGTAATGATGTTAACAGGTGACCATGAAGCAAGTGCATGGAGGGTTGCAAATGCTGCGGGCATCAGAGAAGTTTACTGCAGCCTTAAACCTGAAGATAAGCTATATCATGTGACAAGAATATCCAGAGAATCTGGTGATTTTCCATCTCATTTGAGTATAACATTGATTTGCAGTATCTTACAATTTACATCCCAGTTTATAAGGCATTTAGAATATTTGAATCCCAAGAAAATTAAGGTTTTTTTGAACTTGGAAAATGCTAGAGCAGAGGTAAATATAGGCAGAAAATGTTAGAGAAAAGAAAACATTTGTTCAAAAACAATGATTGATGCTCCCTTCGTCCCAAAATGATACTCCTATTGTAACTTTTGAGGTGTGACTGATGAAAAAGTTATTTTCTCCTTGACAATATTGTGCAATGAGAAATAAAAATTAAAGATTTATATATTTAGAAACTACATTAAAAGTTCTACTGATTTGCAAAAGTTGAAATTTAGTAACATAGAAAGTTGACACATAAATTAGAGATGGAAAGTGAACTGTGTGGACTGGACCACTGGCAGCATATGATGATTGTAGTTTATTTACTAAATAACTTATTCAAACTCAGTTTATTTATCTATCTCTATTAAATAATTTATAACAAAAAATTCTCTATTTATTGTAGAAAGACTAAGAAATCTAAACACTGGAAACCCTTTAAACCAAACACAAGACATTAACTTTCCGTAGACATTTTCGATTTTTTTTTTGTATTTTCAGTGGTAAAGCCAAACACAAGACAATAAGTTTCCATGAAAACCTTCAATTTTTTGAAATCATTTTCATTGTATTTTCTGGGATCCAAGCATACCTTAAGTGTATCACTTTATTGAGAATTTGACACATAATACATGCCTATGTTTATTGCAGGTGGGCTTATAATGGTAGGTGATGGTATCAATGATGCCCCTGCTCTTGCTGCTGCTACCGTGGGCATCGTATTAGCTGAGCGAGCCAGTGCATCAGCTATAGCTGCTGCAGATGTTATGTTATTACAAGACAACATTTCAGGTGTTCCATTCTGTGTCGCCAAATCTCGGCAAACAACATCCCTGGTATCTTCCTCTTTTGGCTAGTGAAATCATGTTGCTTTTCAGTTCTCAATTTGTAATTAAGTATTGTTGCTCTCTACTTTTCAGATTAAGCAGAATGTGGCTCTTGCATTGTGTAGTATTGCCTTTGCCTCTCTTACTTCAGTTATGGGTTATCTCCCCCTGTGGCTAACGGTAGGACTCTTTTCAACCATTTTACCTTCTTAAAGTTACTTTGAGGGGGATTTGCAGAAAGATAATTATCTGAAGTAGACATTGTGTTGAGATGAATCGAGGGAATCCAGAAGTGCTTGGCGAGAATTGATTCCATTGTATGCGGAAAACAACAAAGCTGATTTTTGGTAGTGATTCTGAAACAAAATCATTAAAGATAAAATAATATTTTTCAGTATCATGGGGATGACTTCTGAAATTAAAAAGTTTCAAGATCCCACAAAAGAGTTCCAGGAATTCTACCAAACACCTTAAAAACCGATTCTTCTATTTTCTGTAGCCCTGACACGTAAGAATCGGTTTGAAAAGGCTGCAATGAACACCATTAACCCTTCTGTTTGAGATTAACCATACCTGATTGTGGTCATCTATATACTTACAAGTGTTGTCATTATGTGCTATCATCATGACATAACATCATGTTCCTCTGAATTCACCATGACAGGTGCTTTTGCATGAGGGCGGAACACTTCTTGTATGTTTAAACTCCATCCGTGCTCTTAACGATCCTACGTGGTCCTGGAAAGACGACATCTTGAAACTAGTTAACAGATTGAAACATGTAATTGTGATTTTTGGAAGGCGCAATGCCACCGGAAGCCCCATTCAAACAATTTCATGATTTCTGTCTGGTTCAACAACTCATTGGCTCTCAGGACTCCAGGATGTGCATTAGAAGCTACACAGGAGCTGAATTTGTCTAGTATGAAAAGTTGAAGCTCCCAGGATGACCCCTACATTGCATGGTATAAGAAAATGATTGATTTTTTTTAATGTAATGACCAGCATCCACGATTTAAAAGTTGAACAATATATGATCTGAATAACTGATGGTTGGTGGTTTTAGAGCGGTGAAGTGTAAAAATGTTGAACCATACCTAGGGTTGGTTCTATTATACGAAGTATATCTGTATATAGTGATGTATTTGGTACACTTCTTATTAATTCTTATAAGTAGACAGGTTAAAGGGGTTGTTTACTCCAATATTAGCATTTCCAATATAATAATGTTCGAGAGAATTCCCTAAATAAGACTAAACAATGCAAAAGTGCAAAAATAGGACTCCTATATTTTATGACCAAGGTTGTTAAAATCGTATTTTTGAATCGAATCGGTATACGGATTTAAAAATCGAATCGTAAAATCGAATTGTAAATCGTAAGATTTAGGGGTGTTTGGAATTGATTCTGCTTCTGCTTCTTTTTTAAAGCAATTTTAAGAATCAGATCCAAACACCCCCTTAATAAGTATAAATATATATATGTGTGTGTGTATGTGGATACATCATTCAACCCAATAAATATAATGTTTTAACCAAAGTTCACTAGAAGTATAATATTAAAAATACAAATTAAGGTTGTTTATGACTAAAAGTGTGCTAACATGACAAAATCATTTGTAATGAAAAAAGTTAAAACTTTCTCAGACTCCCAAAATATGTAAATTCTGATCATAAAATTAAAAATTAAAAGTCAGAAACAATTTTGTTTTTATACCTTCAGTGTTTGAAAATAGACATCCTATTTTAGGGAATAACAAACTTAAAGTCACATTTAAAAACTTTAATAATATTTTAGCCCTGATTATGTCAATTTCTTAATAATGTTCGCAGAATCGCAGGGCATACTTGACAATATGTTATGAGAGATGAGCACAAAAATTAATAAATGATGTTTCTTTTTTTAATAGATGATCCCAAAGCTTAGGATCCCACTTAGTAAATATGTAACAATTTTGTTTAAGCTTAGGATCCCACTTAAATGACTTTAAGTTTGTTATTCCCTAAATATGATCCCTAAATAATGTAAATTCTGATCATAAAATGAAAAATTAAAAGTCAGAAACAATTTTGTTTTTATACCTTCAGTGTTCGAAAATAGACATCCTATTTTAGGGAATAACAAACTTAAAGTCATATTTAAAAACTTTAATAATATTTTAGCCCTGATTATGGCAATTTCTTAATAATGTTCGCACGGCATACTTGACAATGTGTTATGAGAGATGAGCACAAAAATTAATAAATGATGTTTCTTTTTTTAATAGATGATCCCAAAGCTTAGGATCCCACTTAGGCATAAAAGCTTGAGCCAGCTATCAAATGAAGCTTTGTGTGCAAGCGTCCACTGATAGTACGGTGAAGCAACCAAGGGTGGGTAATGAGCACAAGTTGCTTCAATGCCATCACCTTCCTCAGGTTCCTGACCAATCTCTTCTTCATCCCTTCGAAGCCATTCCATCCCCTCCACCCGAAGCCCCGAGGTGAGTTCCCCCCCTTCATCTTCCTCGTCAACACCCGCCATAAGTGTCCGGGACATCAGAGCACCGCACAGCCATCGCCAGTTCAACATGCATGGAAAAATTGGCCAAATCTGAGCCTTCCAAAACCCTAGATTCATTGATTTAGACAGACAAATTAGATTGGTTGGGTTCAAAGGGTTGCATGAGGATATCAACAGAAGTATTGGCAACGACAGAGCAAACCTCTGGCTCAGATGACTCCATGGATATGACAGTGACGGAGGTCAGAGGTGAACGACGGAGAAGTGCTGATGAAGATGAGAGTTTGGACAGATGAAGGATTCATCCACACATGAAGGTTCGAGGGAGAAATAGGAGGTTTCTCAAGGGTTAGATAGAGAGAGCGAGATGAGAGATGAACGATCGGTTTGAGGAAGGTGAGATGAGAGATGAAGGGTAAGACGATAGAAAATAAGAAGGGACGGGTAAAGTGAGAGAGAGAGGAGAAAGGTATAATATGAAATGATTAAAGGGTTTGGGGTGAGAGTATTTTAGGGAGTATATGTGTAAAGGGTTGCCTAAAATAGAAATGAGACAATTTTTTTGAGACGGACCGAAAAGGAAAGCAGGAAAGTTATTTCAGGAAGGAGGGAGTACTTTTTAATATTCAACGCACAAGTCAAACTTAACAAACTCAACAAAATAAGGGAGTAGATTTTGTACTAATCTCGCCTTAAAAAACTTTCAAATTTCTTTCATTCTAGTACATTTATCTCATATTAAATTTGATAATATTTATTAGTTTTAACTCATTCTTATTTTATTCTTATTTTATATTTTGAATACAAATCATCGAAATGTTTAGCTTCCACAGTTCCACTTAGATTGAAATCAGTCCCACTAGGTGTAGATTGATATCATTACACTCTATCATTTTCATTAAACTTGAGTAAACAATATCACACGTAAATAAACAACATAACTTTATAATCAAATTAAAATGAGAATATGTGACAAACAAAACCAGGTTCAATTTAAATTTGTACTCTTTTATTATGATTGACTAATGGAGTTTCTCAAAAAATAACCAATCTGTCGGGACAAAGAATGAAAATAAAGTGTAAATGATTCATGACAAAACTGTATAATTGATTCCAAGTATTTTACTCTTCTATTCATACACATGCTGTGTATGAATTGATTCCGAATGTTAGACCATAAGGCTATTTACAATCGTTGGGTGGATAACTCAAAATTCTAAATTTGCGACTTTTCACTTCTGATATAGTTTGCAAATTGCAATCATGAGAATCGATTTAGTAAAAGAAATGGGTAAATGATATAATACTCATCCCGTTTGGATTGACATTTTCTATGCAAAAAGGTGCACAATGCATACGTTACATGAGAGATAAATATATAAAACTAAATCAGTTAAATTTATCTTTCTTTTCACATAATTCTATATTTTTAATTAATTTTATCGATAAACTACATCTATATGTCACCGTTGGTTCTAGATTTCTATATAGGCTATATTTTACAATGTCTACATTTTTTTGAATATAAAAGAACGACTTTTTATATTAAAATCAAGAAAAACATACAAGACAATATCCAGACAGTTATGACAGATTCAATCATCAGTCCTAGACTCCTAGGAATAAATATAGAATCAGTCACATCGTACAAAGCAACCTGATTCGCTAGACACAAAACGATCAATTTTAAGCCTAAAACAATCAGAACCGAAATACTGCTATGAAATATACTCCAAAAATCTAAATACTCAAACCAAACATACTCAAACTAAAATAAAAACAAGTACTACAAAAAGAAAAATAAAATTAAAATAAAGTGTTTCCACAAAACTCCTCCTGGCACGGAGGCGGTTCCGGAGGAGGACGAGTTCTACCAATGTCTATGCGCCCCATAAGAAGACAAACAGAAACCCTTGACCAGGCGAAGTTGATCGGGACACCAAAACAACTTCCTACACTGAGAGAGACAAAACACTCTGGAGCGTCAGTGCACGAGAAAGAATCGCCACAGAACAAAATAAACACAAACAATAAAGAAGTAGAGTTCAGTTGTGTCATGTCCCTACCAAAATCTTCAAGAGTTGATGTCACAACTTCATCATTGGGGTCACAGGAAGTTGATGAAACAACCTTGTATCATGTCATTGATCAAAGAGAATGAACTACCGCCTCGGATTTGTCGTGGACTCGTGGACCACAACTTTGTATGATGCCACCTAGGATGAAGGAAGATTACTACAATGTCTACGTTATAAAATATATACTCTCTTCGTCCCTTAAAACTTTGTCAACTTACCGGTGGGCGTAGCTCAACTGGTAGCGAGGGAGTGCCACAAGGGTTAGATCCCGGGTTCGAATCCCAGCAACTGCGATGAGAGGTTACTATGCTAAAAAATGCATAGGGTCTCTGCAAGTACCGGGGACACAACCCCACTCTCTATCTGTCAGATTGTGATTATAGTCCAATTTACATCCTCCCAACGTACCGTACGGTCGGTGTTGGGGGCTCTCAGGGATGGAGTGTCATCATTTTTTTAAACATTTGTTAACTTTTCATTTTTGGATGTCTCACTAACTTTGTCACTTTCTCTTTTAAGTAAAGAGTTTGTGGTTGTGGTTCTACTTAATTTTCTCTCCTTTGCACAAACCTCAACCACACGATTTTTACTTTATTAATCTCTATGACGATCAAACATAGCTAAATTTTAAGAGACTAAAGAAGTACAATGTTTACAAAAAAATTACCAAAAATTGACATATAGATTTGTTGTATTATCCACGCGAGTCACGGTTTAGTACCTTAAATCTGAAAACCAACGGTGTAGCTCCCATATTTTTCACGTATTTCAAAATTCAAATATAACGATCCGTAGTTTATAAGCTTCAAACTCACCATTCCAAGGCGGAACAAAGAGGCTAAGGCTGGTCTCCAACACCGCAGTCTCTCCTCCGGAAGCCGATAGAGCTTAGTCAGTTTAACGTGGCAGGAAGAAATGGCGTCGAACATTGGAATGATGGACCCCGCTTACTTCATCGGCAGATCTGAGATCCTCGCCTGGATAAACTCCACTCTCCACCTTAGTATGTCAAAAGTCGAGGAGGTACCGTATAGCCCTATGGTTTTCTTATAGACAAATTCAGATTTAGATTTTACTCATTTAAGATGAATGACTTTGTAATTGGTGGACTTTACCTCACTTTCCAGGCATGTACCGGCGCGGTTCAGTGCCAGTTGATGGATTCCGTTCATCCGGGGATGGTGCCGATGCACAAGGTCAATTTTGATGCGAAGAGTGAGTACGAAATGATCCAGAATTATAAGGTCCTCCAAGAAGTCTTCAACAAACTCAAAATTACTAAGGTTTCTCCGCTCCTTCCCTATCAATTGCTTTTACTATTGTATTTTTTGTTCGGTGTTTAAATATTTGAAATGTAGAGTCCATCAATTACATAGCTTAACTAATAATTGGATTGTTCATACTATTTATCGGATTAGAGAAGTTGAATTGTACAGGATCCTACATGTTTATACGGAGTACTACTAATCGATATTTATAGGCTATTTGATTTTGTCGGATTTGAATACTAGTTTTCGGATATTGAATTTGAATACTACTTATCGGATATTTTATTTTGTGTTATCAGCATATTGAGGTGAGCAAACTGGTGAAAGGAAGGCCTCTGGATAACCTTGAGTTCATGCAGTGGATGAAGCGCTACTGTGACTCTGTAGGAGGAGGAAGCTCTGCACACAAGTAATTTCCCAAACCATTTTTATTTTGTGATTCTCATTAATAACATTGGTTGTGTGCAAACCGGTTCCTGTGTGATTTATGCTTGGCAATTAGCTTGATTTGAATATCTTAACAGGCATGCTAAGATAGACTGGTTGTGTGCAAACCGGTTCCTGTGTGATTTATGCTTGGCAATTAGCTTGATTTGAATATCTTAACAGGCATGTGGGCTTAATAAATGGAGTACATAGTATATATGTAATTTGGACAAACAATTCTCCTTGTTATCTTGGATTAGTATTAGACTATTAGCTGATCCTGCTGCTGTATGCTATAGAATTGTTGCAAAGGCAGTTTTTGATGCTTGTTTGGACAAAAAAGGTTTAATTTTCCAATGCCTCAATTTGCATTCATGTACTATCCGTAGTCATTTGTGCCTCTCAAGTTGAGAAAGTCTTGGTGGATTCAAAACTAGACATCGTGCTTAGCCGGACAACCCTTTGCCTTGACATCGGTGCGATATTGCAATCAAAGGGGCTTCATGTTAATCAGAAGCTCGTGGTGCGCATGGCGTGATGTCTGGGTTTAAAGTTATGTTGTAATGGTACTTTTATCCATATCATCATCCATTAATATTCGACTTTTCAGTTACAATGCTCTGGAGAGAAGAGAGGCCAGCAAAGGTGGAAAAGAAGTGTGCAAGAGATCTGCTGCAGCATCTTCACAGCAACCTTCTGCAAAGACTTCCTCAGCATCTTCCACCAAGCATCATGTCCCTCACAATACTCGCAGGAATGATGCAACCACCAACACAAGCACTACAACTCTTTCTGGGAAAACCTCTAGACCGTCTTCAAGTGGAGGCCGCCCTGTGTATACTGAAACAGAAAAAGCTGCTCATGAACAACAGGTGTGAAAGATCTCAACAGTTTCAATAAGTATTTTCTCTACAAACAGTGCTCCATAACAAAGTTAATAATTTTTCTTGGTAAAATTCAGATTACAGAGTTGAAGTTATCTGTGGATAGCCTGGAGAGAGAAAGAGACTTCTACTTTGCAAAGCTCAGGGATATTGAAATAGTCTGCCAATGCCCTGAGATTGAAAACCTACCCGTAAAATCCTCCCTTATCATTTGAACTAACCATTTGTGACTTGTGAGAGAGTATTCCTGGGAATAAATATGAATGTGACACAGTTGTATCTTGTCTCTTCAGGTGGTTCAAGCACTGAAAAAGATATTATACGCTACAGATGACGATGCGTCACTGGTTGCACAAGCTCAAGCCATGGTCTCCAAGCAGCAAGTAGAAGTGAACGAGCATGAAGAGAGCAAGGTGAAAGTTGAGAATCAGAAAAGGAAAATCATTACCAATGCTGATGTTGATGTGGCTGCTAGTGTCACACTCTCTCCAAGGCAAAAGATTACTGATGCCTCTGATGTCCATTGCAGCGGATCACCCCTCGTGACTTACTGATACTGGGTATTAACTCTACAATGATATTTTTGCCCTGCCAAGTGCCATGATGCCTGTTTTGTTCTTTTTCAAAGATTTAATGCACTAAAAGTAGTAATAGACTTCAACCAATGTTGCACTGCACCATGGAGTGATGGAGGTCAGTACTGAACGGTGTAGACAGCAAATTTTTATTTAATATCGTACTTAGCAGCTGTTAAGTTCTCTCTTGACAGCTAGCAGGTCTATATAGTGTATTGTTTGAGCAAGAAGTTCAAGTTTACATGAAGTTGGTTTGCGTAACTCCATTAGATTAGCAGTATAGTAGACTAATTTTAGCCTCCCAGTTACAAATTACAATGGCAATGTGCGCGTTTATGCCTACATGATAAGTAGCTCCTTAACGTCTGGTAGAGGTTTGGGGTGGGTCAGCTCAGGCTGCGAAACAGTTGGCTTGATATGGCTCATTTGGGGGTTAGGCATGGACCCGGTCCAAAACCAGGTCTGGCACTGTGCAGGACCGGACTGAGTCGTGTTTCGGTTCTGGTCCAAGACCGGGTACCTGACCGGGTGTATAGTGTACAGGGTCTCGGTTCAATTTTTGGGGACTGAACCGGTCGGTTCTGATCCCGACCGGTATTTTTTAGGCTTGAAAATGGGTAAAGAATTAAAAATATAACAGAATTGGGCAGTCTCAGCCCGGAACCTGGACTGACCTGACCCGGGCCCATGCCTATTTGTGCTGTTCACTGCTCATGTTTGGTCCGGGAAAATGGACTGGACAGAATTGAGAGGTCTTTAAATAACTGCAAAGTTGAAACTGATTAACAATCCTCATACCGAATAAAAAAGATAAATTAAGATTCACAATCAATTAAAAATTAAAGTTCAACGCTGAATAATGAAGGAAAAATTTATATTAATAATCCCAACTTTTAGTGGTCTTCAAATATTAATCTCAAATATAACTAATTCTAAAACATTCCCAAATTGAAAAGACTTCTGTTCAAGTTGATTCAGATGACCTACAACTTACTCAGCAAGTGAAAATAACAAAATGAAAATTTGAACAGTTCAACATGCATAGTAGGGATGGACAGGGCCCCAGGCCGGGATTGAGCAGTACTGGTGATTTAGGTTGAAGGCCCGGTACCGGGTCGGGTCGGGTCATTTTATTTAAAAAAATGTTTTCTAATTTATTCCTACCCCCAAACCCCACCAAAACACCCAACCCAACCTACCTAGCAGCGGCCCACCAACACCCCCCCCCCCACCCCGCAAAAAATGGCCTGGACTGGTCCCGGACTGGCCGGGCTGGTCCACTAAACCAAGGTCTCGAAGCCCGCCCCATTTTACCACCGGTTCGGGCCCCAAAGCCCGGTTGGCCGGGCTGGGCCGGTACTTCACAGTAGCGGTCCGGGCCGGGTATCGGGTCGGTCCGAACCGGCCTAGTCCATCCCTAAAGCATAGTGATTCAATAAACTATGCCTCGTTTAATGCTTGCATTTTATTCCGAATTAGATAATGAGCACTTGAAACCTTAAAGTATATGAAAAACTATAAATTTTGGTCCTTGTACTAGATAATCAGGAAAACGTCAATTAAATTCTCGTACTTTTAAAAAATGAATCAAATCCCTCGAACTTTTACAAAAACATTCAATTGAGTTCATTAGCAGATTACTCGTCACGTTAGCAAGTAACCTATTGATGTGACACACATGTGGCAGCCCAATTAACCGTGATTTTGCTGACGTGGCACACACATGGAAACCTACTCAACCTTTTTCTGATAACATGGTGCACAAGTTCGGTGATTTGATTAATTTTTTTTGAGTATGAGAACCTAATTGACGTTTTCCTGATACGAGGACCAAATTGATTATAAATTTTATACGGAGTAATATTTTATTCTTATTGAATATTATTGAAATCAAATATGAATATTATTAGTTATTCAATTATTCTCTAGTTGCACTACTACAGTTTATTAGTTTATGAGCGTTTCAGAGCCATACTTCTAGTTATGGTTGGACTCGGGCCGGGTCGGGCCGGCGGTTCTATATAGCTGGACCCGGGACCGGCCCGAGTAGCCACCGGGTCCGGGCCGGGCCTCGGGTTTGTTTTTTTTTTTTTTTTTTGTTTAGCTACCCATCCCTGACCCCCCCCCCCCCCTCACCCCCCCAAACCCCCCAAACCCCTCCTAAACATCAAGCCCAACCCGGTGGAGCCCAAACAAATGAAAAAAACCAAAAAATAAATAAATAAATTTGGCCTGAACCGGGCCTTGTTATGGGTGACCCGAGCCCGGACCGGAAACCCACCGGGTCGGGCCTACCTGGACCGGTCACTGACCAGGCCACCGGTTCGGGCCGGTTCCGGGTCGGGCCACCCGGCCCGAGTCCAAGCATACTTCTAGTATAGTTTGTTAACAGAAAGTTTACACAAATAATCAAGAACGAACCAAAATAATAGAAAGTTAACATTCTTAAAGACAACTTATTTTTGTGAATCAGACAAGCACTTGGCAAGCAGAGAATATATATTATTGACGTTAACTCAACAGGTTTTTTTTTTTTGTAAAATGTGTCAAAGTAGGAATTCTAAGGGTCAATTTTATCCAGAATCAATATCGAAATAAAGGTATCTATGTGACCTAGGGCACGTTTACTTCATAGGTTACTAACCGGTGCTTATAAGCTCATGTTTACTTTACATGATTCAAGACACCGTTTAACATTAAAATGTCCAATATATCCCTATACATATATAGACACACAAACATTCATATACACAAGTATATATATAATATGGCGGGGCCTACCCCTACCACTACTCCCCTACCACCCTATACGGGTACCCATGCCCCCTACCCCTACCCTACCTCCTACCCCCAATTCCAACCTTACACCCTACCCTTACCCACCCCTACCCCTTATAACCCTACCCCTCACCCTGCCCCTACCCGACTTTTCCCCACCCCTACCCCTGACCCTCGGGTATAGTAGGGTAGGGTAGGGGTATGAGCCACGAGTAGGGGACGTTAGGAGTAACGGTACGAGTACGAGGTAGGGGGTAAGGATGGGATGGGGGATAAGGGGGTAAGGGTACGCGTACAGGTAGGGGTAGGGGGTAGAAGGACCTGTGGCAGGGGCGAGGTAGGGGTAGGGGTGGGTACGACTGTACGGGTAGGGGTAATGGGCACTGGATCAGGGTGTGGGGTAGGGTTGGGGTTGCGGTTGAGGTGGGTTTGGATAAGGTAGGGTAGGGGTACACACAGGGGAAAAGGGTACGGGGGTTAGAGGTACGAGGATGCGTAGGATTGGGATGGGTTTGAGTAAGGTAGGGCAGGGTTAAGGGTAGGGGCAACAATAAGGGGTAAGGGTAAATTCGGAAATTGAAAAAGTCTAAAATGCCGCTTAATTAATACACGAGGGATGATATGATTAGTAAGCGCTACTTTAATCACCTGTTTCGGTTAGTAAACAATTTTTTAATCATCATGCGTATTTACTTCACCTGTCTTACTAATCTTACTGTGACTTTAGTAGCGAAATAAACACGTTCTTAGTCAATTAATTTTACATCCCTATGTTGGGAAGTTAATTTTTTAATACGTATGTACTCCATGCAAAATAAGGGAAAATTAATCTAAATGTGAGTAAAACATTACAGATTCCTCACATTTAAACATGACTCTTATGAACAGTAACTGATTTCAAAAGAGAAAAAATAAGATCATAACACATGTCATACGAGCTTAAAAAAACACATGTCATACATATAAAAAACACCATTTAATTTAGAAATACGTAGCATATTTTAGGGATCATCACATTTTGTATTCATACTCCTAATAATTTTCTCATAAATAAACGGATTTTTAGGGTTAAATGATACTAGTTTTATATACTACGTATAGCTAGGGTTAAACGTATTATATATTTTTAGGGTAGAATTGAGTGATTGTTGATTTGTTGGCAACAATGGGTGGGAATGAACGTCTTACCCGAGAACCAGACACATTCGATCAGTTTTAATTTGATGGTAACTAATGATCGGTCCTAGCTTCCCAGTTCCCATTCCCAGAAACATCGGAACTATTAAATTAAACAAGCTAAGCATGCCCAATACAATACAAACATACATACATACATGCAAGAATTGAACACCAACCAAAACATTTCCATACCACTTTATAAAAAGAGAGAGCTTTTTCGTATCATCCAAAGAGAAAGCTTGGAAACCATTCACCAAAAACTAGCTTCAATTCCATTATGAATTCTTTCACCAACAAGGTAAATTACATTAAACCAGACAGCTCATAGACGGGTCATGCATGTTGTAGTACTGGTCTAGGATGATAAAATTGTTATTTTTATGAAAATTGTAATTAATCAGAATTCCATATAAATTTTTATAAAGTTTCATATATATTTATATCAAAGGGTGCGGTTCCGATAAAAACCATCCTTATCGTGCAAACTGCAAACCGTCACTTTTGACTCAATTTGATTCATTTTAAAGCTCGTCTCTTGCACTTTTTAAACTTTGGTCGAATCATTTCAAATAGAAAAAAACGGTGGCACTTTTGTAAATAAGTCAAAGTTGTATGCACGCCTTCGTGAAAAAGTGCAATATAGAAAGCTAATAGTGCATCAGAATGGAGGAAAAGTGATAGGTTTTTAGTTTTCACGGGAAGAAAGATTTTTATTTGATTCGGAATCTTTATATATATATGTAAAGTTAAAGGTATTTATCGAGATTGGGTGAACCCGGGCACGAGTTGGTCCCCGACTTGTGATTGTGTGCTAGACATATATACTTATGTATGAAATAGATACGTACATCTACTTGTACTATGTCATGAAAAATGTGCATTATTTTGCGTTACTAAACAAAATTATTTCTAATTACATATTAAAAAAAATTGAATTCAATCATTATCATTGGTACGATAATTCATAATGTTATAGTGACATACTAGTATATGATATATGGGTTGATTAACATTACTTATTATATACTCCGTATAATTAAGTCAAATGAACCCTTCTCAAATAAAAATTCAGCTTCTTGTGCCATCTTGATTGAGGTAAATAGGTAATGAGGTGCAATCCGAATGCACTTGATTTGAGACTCTAAAACATTGTGATCCATGTGAAATAAAACTTTCTTTGATGAAAGTAATTTTATGATAAACAATTAGTTTCAACTTTAAAAAAATGGAATTTTATCAATTCAAGACCCGAAAGATAGATTAATTATCAATTCAGGACTCGAAAGATGAAACGTATCGGTATAGGATCCGAATGATAGAAAACTATCAATTTAGGACCTAACATTTCATAGGTTTTGATTTATTTAATTTTTTATTAATTCCATTACTAATTTTTGATAAACTTTTCTTCACAAAAGTTTATTAGTTTAATAAAACGAAATAATATTTAAAAATATTTAATAAAAAAATTACGACAACTTAGGTCATAGATTAATAGTTTTCAATCATTCAGGTCCTAAATTGATAGTTTTTCATCATTCGGGTCCTATATCGATGCATTTTATCTTTCAGGTCCCGAATTGATAATTAATCTATCTTTGAGGTCCCGATAAAATTCCTAAAAAAATTACACTCGACCATATATTGATCCTTATGGCAAAGATTTTATTCTTATAAATCTGTAAACTTAATGGTCAGGATATGAATTCACAAGGTCAATTGGAAAGGAAGGTGGAAACTGTAGATTACCAATCATCTGCAGGGCAAGGGCAAGAAAAGCGGCCGGTGGAGATAATCCATCATCATCCGCCGCCGACTACTCATAGCAACCAGAAAACCAGCGGCGCAGTCTTGACCAACGCCGCGGCTTCAGTCGTATCCACCCTTGACTCCGCCAAAGAGGCCATTTATAATTCCAAAGCATAGCACCACGGTCCTCGGTAGCGGGAGAAAAAGCTCTTTTGTTCCATTTTTTAAATTAAATTAAATGTACATTTCTAATTCCGTTTATGATCTTCAATAGAAACCAAAAAGAGTACTCGAGTTGAATTATTTATAATATAAGATTAAATGAGACCCCTCTTTAAAAGGTTACAATAGTAAAGTAAAATGTTTTACAACTATTCTATATGTACACGTTTTTATACATTTGTATGTGCCAGGCCATATTTTTTGTCTGTGAACGTATGTGACAGACAAAACTTGCGTGTTTTGTCTGTGACAAACAAAACAAGCCATTCACAGACAAAAAATGGATAGAACGTGTATAAAAACATGTACAAATAGATTTTTTTGAATGTTTTATCCTGCATTTGAATTAGAGAATAAAATGGGTTATACAACAATTGATAATTTAATTTGATGAGCCCCTCAAGCGCCATAGCAGATATTCCTTCATTTGATGAGACCATTCTTTTAGCTCATTAAAGACTCTTTCACACACACACTTTTTTTGGTATGTCTAATGACCAATGAAATGATGAATAGACTTGATCTTCACATCTAGAGTAAAGTTATAGTGGGCCGAAATTCGGGTCATTTATGTCTTATTTTTAGAGTAACTTTTTGATATATTCCATTTAAACAACCCAATGTTAATTTAATTTTTGTTTAATTAATAGTCAACCCAACTTGATCTAAAGTCTTGAATCCAGAATCCGTAGTAATATTCTCATGTAATAATTGGTTTCAAACCGCTCAATAAGATCAATTACAAGGTCATCCCTTGGAGCAGTTGGATTTTTATGAACAAAAGAGTTAATAGAAGTACTCATAACTGAATTATTTATAATAAGAAAAATTGAAAACAATATTCCTAACTATTGCCGGTCAACCGTTAATAATCCCAAATCCCAACTATCGATTATTCATAGCTGATACAACTATAGGTACTATTTTCCATAAAAAGTCCCTAACCGATCAAACATTGCTGAAACATATCAAAATCTACCATTGCCGCCTCACGATAATAGCAGGCAGGGCCGTCGAATAAATTTGGAGGCCCCGGATCAAAATGAAAATCGGGGCCCCACATTTATATAAACCAAATACTTATATTCAAATCAATTAAATACTCATTAAAAGAGAACGATCAAAGTAAAAGGACCAACGAAGAATGATAGGTCTATATTTTCCTTCGTGTATTTTACTAATTAGTATTAATATACTTACTCCGTTCTTAAATAAATGCAACGGTCAACATTTCACACTTGCCGAGACACAACTTTGACCATTAATATAAATGATTTTGTATTAGTAAAAAAATTAAAAAAATTAGATTATGAAAATTAACAATGAGACAAGTTTAACAATATTTTTTTCATAAAATAATATAATTACATTAATAAATAAAACGTAGCCAAAGTACAACATGTGAATAGTGTAAAAGTCAAAGTGTTGCATTTATTTAAGAACGGAGGTAGTATAATATTACTATATAATACTAATAAATTTTTAAAAATTTGGGGCCCGTAAATCCGAGGCTCTATTCTGTATAACCTATTGAACCCCCTAAAAACCGGTCTCACGGCGGGCTTTGTTGTTGATTTTGGATTTCCTGCTCCCAGCTCATTGCTCACCCGCACTGAATCCAACTGATATCATATATATTAAATACCCATCCAGAAATAGTCAAACAAAAAGAGAGAGCATCCAAAGCCAACTTTGGGTTTTAATGGTCTTCAGTTTCATTTCAAGACTTCTTATTTCTTCATCTTGGCGATTAATCCTTTTCAACAACTCGGGAATTATCCTTTTGGCTCGTTGACACATAGGAGGGTCAAACCACTCCATAAAATTGCATCCTCCATGTCTCTGTTGCTCATATATCCACAAGTAAGTAGCAGACTGGTTAGTATTAACTAAATAGATTCTATCACCAATTTGTTCCCATGTCATTGCCTTATGAAATAAGCAAAAAACTGGGCTGCTTTTTTATTATCTAAACAAGCTTTACACAAAACAAGTATTGAATAACTTACTTCATAGTTAGGACATTGGAAAAACCCCCGACCTGGATTTTCACTACTCCATGTGGTAAGCAGCTTCAACTCGTGGCCACAGTGACAACAAGTAATTAGAATCCACTCACCATAAATGTAATATTCACGCTGAGAATTTCTGGAAACAAAGCTCGTCATTCTGGGATAGATGATGGTTAGGGTTTTTGTTCTCCAGTGCTCGAAGCTTCATTCACCTGGAGAAGAAGCAAAAGCAACGGAATAAATAACCGGAGGACTAAAAGTGTCCAAAATAAAGACAAAAGTGCCCTCTGAAAAATAAATTTATAAGGTGAGCTAGACAAAATAAATAGCTTCACCGATGGGTTTGGCCGGATAAATGACCGGAGGACTAAAAGTGTCCAAAATATGATAGTCGTGCACCAAATATGAGACTTTTAAAAGAATAAGATCAAAAGTGAGACTTAGTATATAGTCATAGGACCAAAAGTGTCAAAATTTCGCAAACAAAACAAGAACCTAAAAGTACCAACTTTCTAAAACAGAGCATAACAAAACCTGGAAAAGGCCTGGATTAAGAACCCGGCCCAATTCTTCCTGCATTTCTCAATCTCCACTATATACACAAACTGTGCTATCACAACTTCCCACCAAGAAAGTCTCAACACCAGCAACAAGAAGCTGCTTGGAGGTTATATATGCCTTTGGTTGTCAAAGTTACTGCTATTGTTTTCAAAGAATGCGTAAAAAATCAAGAATGTGACTTAGTAGAGAGTTTCTAGGCTATTTCCAATTCCTATAAAGTTCATCTGGAAAGGAAACGGACACCTTTAGAACGGTCGGATAAATCTGAACATGGCCAGAAAAATCAAAAGAAGTTTTGTTATTAGTGCAAGCTTTAGAGCATTAACGAATAACGACACGAAAAATGATAAGTTTAAGGACATGGACCTTTAATGTTGGAATAAATCCATAAATACTTTAATCTTCATATTGAAATTATCTAGAGAATTAACTTGAGCGGAAGCGTACCTGACTCCATGGAAGATCACCTTTGGAGATCCGGGAGACGGAGGCTAGGGTTTGCGTTTCTAGCTGATACACGCCCTCGGGAATTATCTCTCTAGCGATGGGATGCAGAAAGACGGAATGACGTGTACAACTAGGGACCATAACCCCTTATTTATAGAGAGTGCTTAACCCTAATCAGCCCATCATTGATTATGTCAAGCCCATGGGTCTCTACACATTTGGGCCCTATACCTTATTAGATAACTTATTAGCCCACTTAAATTAATATCCATAGGACCACTAATTTTGGGCCTAAATATAAGATAGCATATAACATACAATTAAACCCGATAAATAATATATTGTGAATATTACATGTAGTATAAGTCCAATAATCTAACAATCTCCCACTTGGACGACATACACATGTATACACAATCCTCAGAATTGTATGTTTACTTTAGGAGCTCCAAAATTTTGCTATCAAACTGTAGTCATCTTTAATCAATCTGGTCCATTAATTATATCAACATAGGACCAAAGAAGTCTTTGTTATATTTGAATAACTAGACCCATCAATGATCACGTATATTAATATAATAAACGACATGGATCAAGTATAGGTGTGTAGCGTGGAAATAACATAAAGTGTGGTCTGGAATAGAATGTCTATTTCCAACTGGTCCACCTTGAGATCAATAATATAACTGTAAGAGTACATAAAACTTTAAACTTTATTTCTGCAGAAAATAACCTTAAAAACTTGAATCAAGTCAATTAACCAAATATAGAAACATTACAAACTCCCACTAAAACTCATAATCCTCAACTGATTTGACACCCATTTGAGCAACATGCTCATGAAACACTTTGGGTGGTAATCCTTTAGTGAGCGGATCCGCAATCATGGAGTTCGTGCTAATGTGCTCTATAGATAACTTTCCTTCTTGTACTCGTTCCTTAACAGCCTTAAATTTGACCCCAATGTGTTTTGCCTTGGTCAAACTACTGTTGTTCTTAGCATAGAGGACTGCTGATCTATTATCACACAATAGCTTAAGTGGTCTTTCAATGCTGTCCACTATGCGTAGTCCACTAACAAAATCTCGCAGCCATAATGCCTGATTGGATGCCTCATAACATGCTATAAACTCTGCTTCCATGGTGGAAGTAGCTGTAAGAGTCTGCTTGATACTCCTCCAGGAGATAGCTCCTCCAGCTAGAATATAGATGTAGCCTGAAGTGGATCTCAAGCTATCTTGACATCCAGCAAAATCAGAGTCGGTATACCCAATGATCTCAAGCTGATCTGATCTCCGATATGTGAGCATATATTCCTTTGTTCTCTGTAAATACTGCATGACCCTTTTGGCTGCTTTCCAATGGTCCATTCCCGGATTGCTCAAATATCTGCCTAACATCCCAACAATGTATGCCAAATCAGGTCTTGTACAAACCTGGGCATACATCAAACTTCCTACAGCCGAAGCATAAGGAATGTTCCTCATTTCTTTAGATTCAAAACCATTCTTAGGGCACTGCATGAGACTAAACTTGTCTCCCTTAGAAACTGGGGTATCTCCTGGTTTGCAGTCTTGCATACCAAACCTTTTGAGAACCTTATCGATATAGCTCTTTTGTGAGAGTCCAAGAACGCCTTTGGAGCGATCTCGGTGAATTTGAATTCCTAATACAAAAGAAGCCTCACCAAGATCTTTCATTTCAAAATTCTTTGAAAGAAATCTCTTAGTTTCGTGTAATAAGCCTATATCGTTAGTAGCAAGCAGTATGTCATCAACATACAAGACCAGGAAAATATGCTTACTCCCACTGAACTTGTGGTATATACAATCATCACTGACGTTTGGTTGAAAACCAAAAGATATAATGACTTTATGAAACTTGTGATACCACTGACGAGAAGCCTGTTTGAGCCCATAGATGAATTTCTTTAATTTGCAAACCATTTTCTTTGAATCTCCCGAAACAAAGTTTTTTGGTTGCTCCATATATATGGATTCCTCAATGTCACCATTGAGAAATGCAGTTTTTACATCCATCTGATGAAGCTCAAGATCAAAATGTGCCACTAATGCCATTATTGTTCTAAAAGAGTCTTTCGAGGATACCGGAGAGAAAGTCTCTTTATAGTCAATTCCTTTCTTTTGAGTGTAGCCTTTAGCAACAAGACGAGCTTTAAACCTTGTAACATTGCCCTTTGAATCCCTCTTGATTTTAAATATCCATTTACAACCAATGGGTTTAATACCTTCAGGCAATGAGACTATCTCCCAAACGTCATTGTCACTCATAGACTTCATCTCATCTTTCAGGGCATTAATCCATTCTTGAGAGTTAGAACTTTCCATGGCTTGACGGAAGTTGATTGGATCATCTTCCGCAAAACCAACATCCGATTCTTGTTGTTGGAGGAAGACAATTATTTCTTCCACCAATTCCCAATTTTCCTCATGTTCTAGGAGAAATACAATATAATCATCCGGAATTGCGCTTCTCCTCTCTCGAGTGGATCTCCTTAATGGCACCTCAGGTTCTTGAGGTTGTTGAGTTTGATCCTCATTAACAAATTCAGGTACTTGATTGGGGATGTTTTCGAGATTGTCATGAACTGGAGTTGTTTCTTGAACATCATTAGGAATAAACATATCTTGATCATGTTCAATGACAACTGAAGGAAGAGTAACATGTTCTTCCTCAAAGACAAAATCTCTAACCTTATCTCCCCACCCCCAAACTCAATATCCTCAAAGAACCGGGCATTGCCCGTCTCAAAAATAGTCCTGGTAGTGGGATCATAAAATTTATACCCCCTTGACCTCTCAGAGTATCCTACAAAATAGCTACTAATTGTTCTTGAGTCCAGTTTCTTTTCATTTGGCCTATAAGGCCTTGCCTCAGCTGGACAACCCCAAACATGGAAATGATTTATACTGGGTTTCTTTCCAGTCCAAATTTCATAAGGGGTTTTAGTTGTAGCTTTAGTGGGAACTCTGTTAAGTATGTAAGCTGCAGTTTTCAGTGCCTCTCCCCAGAGTGAATCGGGTAAAGTAGTATGACAAATCATACTCCTAACCATGTCCTTCAATGTACGGTTTCGTCTCTCAGCAACACCATTCATGCTAGGAGTTCCTGGCATGGTGTACTGAGGAACAATTCCACACTCCTCTAGGAATTTAGCAAAGGGCCCTGGACGTTGTTCACCGGAACCATCATATCTACCATAGTATTCACCACCACGATCAGATCTAACGGTTTTTATTCTTTTGCCTAATTGATTTTCAACTTCGGCCTTATAAGATTTGAACACGTCTATTGATTGGGACTTTTCATGAATGAGATAAAGGTAACCATAACGAGAGTAATCATCTATGAATGTGATAAAATATGTTTGGCCATTTCTACATGGTGTAGGGAATGGTCCACAAATGTCCGTATATATCAATTCTAATAGATCTGAAGCTCTCTCGGCACCTAACCTCCGTTTGTTCGTTTGTTTTCCCTTAACGCACTCAACACAAATATCAGAATTTGAGGAGTCAAGAGAATCAAGAATTCCATCTGACACAAGTCTCTGAATTCTTTCTTTAGAAATATGTCCTAGACGCTTGTGCCAAAGTGAAAACGAACTCTCATTGGTTAATTTTCTTTTAGTACCACGAGTACTTACATGCAAGGTTTCATTATATGAGGTATTTATATCAAGTGAATATAGATTATCATAAACTGATAAAAGACCAGTACCAATAAGTTTTGAATCTTGAAATAGACTGAACTGACTATTTCCAAATGAACAAGAATAACCAAATTTGTCCAATGCAGAAATAGAAATTAAATTCCGCCTAAATGACGGCACAACAAATGTTTCTTTCAAATCCAAATAAAAACCAGTCTTTAATAATAATCTAAAAACACCGATAGCCTCAACTTCAACCCGCTTGCCATCACCGACATAGATGTATCTTTCACCATCAATTGGTTTTCGGCAGCTCAGGCAACCCTGCATAGATACACTTATGTGAGTAGTAGCACCAGAATCTACCCACCAAGTGTCTTTTGGTACCGAAATTAAATTAACCTGAGAACAAACAAGAGCAAGAGACATACCCTTTTTCGCACGCCAAGCATGGTACTTAGTGCAGTTCTTTTTCTTGTGATTAGTCCCTTTGCAAAAGAAGTATCCAGATTTCTTAGTTTCTTCCTTAGTTTCCTTGTGATGCTTCCTGGGAGGCCCCGAATTTGCAGCTTCCTTAATTTTTCTTTTATTGCTGCCCTTAGAGGTAGATGCCAAATGAGCACTTTCTGTCTTATCTTGCTTTATTCTCTCTTCCTCTTGAACACAATGAGAAATGAGCTCATTGAGAGACCATTTCTTCTTAATGCAGTTGTAACTGACTTTAAATTGATTAAATTGAGAAGGAAGAGAGATCAAAACTAAATACACAAGCAATTCCTCAGGTAAAATAAGCTTCAGTGCACTTAGTTTTGAAGCAATGTGAGACATTTCCAAAATGTACTCCCTTATGTTCCATTTGCCTTTATACTTCATGGAAACAAGAGTGCTCAAAAGAGTACTAGTTTCCGCCTTTTCGTTTTTAGCAAAACGCTTTTCAAGTTCGGCAAGGAACGATTTGGCATCAGCCTCATCAGACATTGTGCCCCTGAATGATTCTGGAATTGCACGTTTCATGATCATTAGACTCATGCGATTTGAGCGTTCCCACCTCTCCATCTCTCTCTTTTCATCGAGGGTAGATGTGTCCTTAAGAGCGGCGGGTTTCTCAGTCTGAAGTGCAAGGTCTAGATCCATGCAACCGAGAACGATCATAACATTCTCTTTCCATTCCTTAAAATTCGTGCCGTTAAGCACTGGGATGCTATTAATATTAGCAGATATTGTAGCAGCAGAATTGTTGACTGAAAGAGAACAAAAAATAATATAAATGATATGCTCTAGGAACTGAAATTAATTTGATAATTAATTTTAAATTTAAATATTAGCAATCCCCATCACAAGTTACCTAGCGCAACATCTAATCTTGTCTTTGGACATAAATTAGACTTGCAAGTGGTACTCTTGGTGTGATAATAAAATTTTGATAATAAAATCATGTCAAATATTAAGCCTTTCTTTGGACCGACTTAATATTCACACGGAAAAAAAAAACTTCATAATCATCACAAATTTTATTATCACAAATGTACTTAAATTTCGGCCAAATAATAACCTTCCTTTAGGCTGATTATTATCCGCATGAAATAAGAAAGTACACAATCATCTTAATATATGAGTTAATTAATTTCAACAAGAGAGGCTACTTTGGCAGCATGTTGTGTCAATTAATCAACCCAAATATTAGACATGCTAATATTAAATCAACAATCTGAAA